CTTTCAAGTTCATTTTTGTTGACCACTTTTCCCAAGAGACTATGTGAAGAGTCTTTGATACATGAAATTAGTCCATATATCAAGAGACAGAAGTCTGGCCTGTCCACAGTCACAGACTCAAGACTAGACCCCAACTTCAAACGTCTACTTTCTCCTGTCCTTAAGGACTGTTGCAGGCCACCACTCCTCAGAAGGCTTTGGCTTGTTGAACATGGAGACATTTACTCTTCTTTCCTCACAGCCCTGACTCATGATTACTGAATGATTCCTATAAAAATTGATTTTATTGTTGTTGCTGCTAGGAGAGAAAATCTTTGGAGTAACCATCCTGGAAGTCTGCTCTGAATTGGATTCTGCTCAAAGCTCCAACAGGGAAATAATAAATTGACATTCTACAAAGCTGAGTCCTGCCCCTTCCTGTCTGCTTCACACTATAGGCAGGTGTCTGACTAGAAAGTTAGACACCCCTGGCAGACAGAATTTCCTGCACTGTCTTCCTCTTGTCTGCCAGCTGGGTCCTGGTCACTACACAAGTAGATGTGGAGAACAGCTGGTGTCTGTAAAGACAAATGGTGGAGGAAGAGTGGAGGCAGCAGACAGACATCATGCTGGGCCAAGGAACTGGGAGGCCCCAGCTCTGGGGACCAGGAAAAGGCTTAGGCGGAGTGCTGGCAAGAAGCAAGTCTGGGAAAAGGTGCTGAGAGCTTAACCCTGGCCTGGAGTTCATACCAGCAACTCCATTCCAGGAGGTCAATGAAGCAAGAAGCTCATCTACTAGCAGGGCAGGATTCTTGGGCAAGACATCGCCCTGTTACAACACGATGTTGAGAGAGGTTAGAGGCTGGTGCTTTATGGCTTAATTCTGTAGATTTGCATCTCAGTTTCAGTACTTGCTGGCTGGATAGACTTAGCCCTTCTAAGCCAGTTTTATCATCTATAAAATACAGATTAAAAGACAGCATCTACAACAGAGCCACTGCACTGACAAAATATGTAGAGGCTTACACTATGCTTAACAACGTGTAAGCTCTCAGTAATCACAAGCTATTGTGGTTGATGTTAGGAAACCCTAGGATTGACCCACATCTCTGTCACTATACAAGTGGTTTCACCTCACTGAACCTCAACTTGCTACCTTGTAAGATATTTCTACACTCTAAAGGAGAGCATATACAGATTCCACTGCTGCATAGTAAGTGGTCAATGAACGGAGCTCTTAGAGTGCAACAGCGTGATGGAAGCTTATCTCCCCTATGGATGCATTTCCACATGCCAGGCTCAGAAGAAAGGAATTTCCATTGATACAGGACTTGGGCCAAAGCGACAAGAGGGAAATAATAGGTCCAACAGGGAGGGTCAGGGGACTGAGAAGAAGAAAACCTCTCTCTTTCTTAAGAGCCTTCCTACTGTCATAACTGCAGACTGAAAATAGAACTTTCTTTTGTCCTGTGGACACCCTGGGGGACTCCTGTGTGGGCTTCTGAGGGTGTCAGGGATGCCTGGGAAGGTTGGGTCTCACCTACCACCACCAAGTCTTTGCTACCAGAGAGTGTGCTCTCCTTTTCACATGAGAATCGAGAGGTGGAGAATTTCACACCCAACTCCTCTGGCTGGGTTCACAACAACATTTCTTCAGCCACCTCTGGGAAGGCTGTGCTTAGGTATACCAAGGAAAACTACTCCTTTGTATAAAAGTATACCTATTCCTATGTACCTTTCTCTTTTGAGTGTTGTACCTGCATGGGAGAGACAGCAGGGCATGTGGGTTTGACAGATCTAGATTCAAATTAGGATTTACTATTCAATACCCACAGGACCTTGGGCAAGTCTCCTACATGCTCTTAACCCACTGGTTAATCTGCATGACTCAGAACATTAGCCTACCAGAGTTGACGAGGGGATTCAAGAAGACAGCAGAGGCCAGGTGTCTGACAGATGGTCTGCAGATATAGTGTGGACTTTTCTCTGCCTGTCTTTTGCTATAAACCAGTCTGCTGCAAGGAGGAGCTGGGGAGAAGCCTTTAAGCATTCAAGTTTATTTAGAAGTTGCACTGGGAAAATTAAATTGTAGGAAGTGTGGTTTTAATTTGAGAAATCTCTTTTCTCCTAGAGTTAGACTTCCAGGAACTCACATTTGGAAATATACAAACACCTGTGGGTAACAGAAATAATTGAGCCAAAATCATCCATGGCACAGAGTCCCTAAGTCTCTCCAGTCCTGACTTGCCATATAGTTGGAACATGCGCCCATGTCTGGGCGCAACCATGTGTCTCTAACAGGGCATTACCTGCTCCTTCGGGTCTCCATGCTCATGTCATTTCCTTGGGACAGGCACCCTCTCTCTGATCTGTACAATGCACTGTTCTCCCTGATGTCCTGCACTCCTTCATCACCACTTCCATAAAGGAGACTGAATGGATGGTTGCAGAGCTCACGACTAGCAATGGCAGGCCCCACAGGGCAGGAGCTGTAGCTGTCTGATCATGTCATACACATACAGCCTGGCCCAGTGCTGGGCACACAGAGATGCCTGGTGGACACCCATCTCCCTGGCGGGAGGACACCTGGTCTCCTGCATTCTGATACCACAGAGAACAGGTAGCCCAGTGAGTAGAAGTAGGAGATGATAACCCTCTATGTAACGAACTCAAACTACATTCTGATTGTGGGTGAAGGAGAAGCAAAAGAGAGAAATGAAACACAATAAAGATGCAAAAAAATAATTGTGGGCCACTTAGTGAGGAGGCGCTACTCAACTCTGCACCCTGGAGTCTGCGGTGCTGCAGCTGCGCCCGGTCAGGACCAGACTCAGAATGGTGACTGGTGCTCCCTGTGCGTTGGAACCAGAATTGCTGTAATAATTAGAGTCTGCACCTGAGCCTCTGTCTCATGACTTCATTTCCCTGCCATGCTCTCTGGAAAATGAGTAACACATTTAAAGGACAACGCCGTCCTCCTCATATATTTACAGCATTTATTACATAAGTTACAGTAGGTAGGGAAAAATTATTTTAATCAGCCCTGCACTCTCTCTGCCTGATGGTGTAAGACAAGGCCATAATTCTACAGAAACTTCTATTTAAAAACAAAAACCTTTACTTTCCATTCATTTTCCAAACAGCAATGGAGTGAAATTGACATTATTATATGATATATTCATTGGAAACAGGCATCAAGAACCTTAGCATGTTTAAACCATTTGGGTCACTTCAATTTTAAAAATCAATTATACAGGAATAATTAGGGCTGTAAAAGATTTATGTGCAAAAAATTCATAAGCACCATTATTTATAATATAAGAAACTGAAATAACTCAAAATGAAAAAGCAAATGGGCACCAACAATACTGCACATCACAACCATGCAACAAATAGAAATACAGCAAAAATATGGCTAAGAATTTTACCCTAATATTACACAGTTCTTATATATAATATTTCCTGTACTAAATAAGCAAAATCAAAGAGAACAAGATCCCAGACAGGAGATGCAGCGATATATTCATGGACACTTATGTCTTCACACTGTACAAAATATGTAGAATAGATTATCCCCACCAAAAGTAGAATTTATCTTTGGACTCTAGGACAACAGTGAACTTTTTTGGTCTCCTCTTTTGGGATTTCTCTAAGGATATATTGTATACTGTTTCACAATTAGAAACAATCATAAAATTTATGAACAGGATATGAATTTTATTCTCTTATACCCAAGCAGAAAATGCATGTCTTAAACATCCTACCAAGAGAAAGGAAGCTAAAACCAACTAAGAGGAGCGAAGCTTCCAAGTGTCACCCACAGAGAACCGATTGGCCGCATGAGCCTCAGCGTCCTCATTCCTCAGTCCTCCAGCTTGAGTGTGGCATTTTGGTTCTATCCCTGAACTCTAGGGTCACAGCACTGTCTTGAAGGCACCAGCTCTTTTAAGTGCTCCACAGTATCATCGAGCTTGAATTAGACTTGCAAAACCTTGTGCTGTGTTTACTCTCCCACCCAGCTCCAATCATTCCCCCTTTATGAGCCTCCATGTTCAATGAATCAAGTAAGCAGATCTGGTCAGATCCTCACAGAGAGCTCCTGGGCCATAACTGACTCTAGGCCCTAGCTGTCCTTATCTCAGAAACCCACTGCTCAATTCTCTACTAGGAGAAATTAGAACAAATCATCTTAGTGATAGTGGGTGAATATAAACATAAAAAGAGCTTTGTAGTGACTCCTTTATCATAAAAACTCTTCTCCACTTGGACTAGCCAGGTTTTCCAGCCTTTACCAGTGCTTGACTCATGCCCCAAACTTAGGGCTCAGCCCAGGGGAGCGGGAAAATGGAGGCAGCTACCTTTCTATGCATGATTGATGAGCACCTCACTCTAGTGCTTCGGTTTTACCACAAATGGCTGCGTCGCTCTTTTGTGCATCCTAGTGCCAAAGGAAGAAAATCACAACTCACCCCTGTCCCCTGTGCTTTAATCTTACAGATGGAAAAATAAAATAGAAGATGCAATGCCCAAGGGCCACAGTGATAAGTGCTTTGGTTGGGAATACCTCATATTCCCGCTCCTCCTAGACTTCAGCCATATGCCCCAAATGCAAGTCTTCTCTCTGACTTTACCTGCTTTCCTCCTGCCCCAAACACTGCCTGCTTTATGGCTGTTTCCCTGTCCCTTCCCCTCATCCCTCATTTTTTGGTTGTCACTGGCTCTGCAAGACCTTCTCTGTTGCCTTACCCAGGTCCCAACAGCACTAGGTTCTCCCTTCTCAAAGTGCTTTCTGCCCCCCTTTTTAATCTGCTTCCATGCTCTGAGGAGCACATCAACAAAGACCTCTCAGGGCCCAGCACATGACAGTAGCTCAACTAGTGATAAAAGGACTAATATGAAATAAAGCATTAAAAGAGCACTACCACAACCAGGACAATGCTTTGCCCACAATGTGGACATGAACTCGCTGAACACACTAGAGAGGTGTGCAGGGGCACCACCAGCCACCCACCCTGGCCTACCTTCTTGGTCTTCACCGTGGAGGTGCAGCAATCCCCACCATCGTAGTTGCAGAAGGCGCGATTGTTGATGGCATCACAGTAATTGTCTCCCATAAAGGGCTAGAAGGGAGGAGAGAAACAGGAAGGAAACAAGCTTTTGTCAGCATTCTGGAGTGAAGAGCCTGAGCTCAGTGCTTCCTCAAGACCCTTATGGTTGTTTAGTGGCCTCTTCAGCTCACAGACCTCGAGTCCATGACCTGTTCGGGTAAGTTATGATCTTACTATTTACAAACATTCTGCCACACATTCCTCAACTAGAGTATCATTATGTTCAGAAAAATATTCTTGAATACTGAGGGATACAAAGCCATAGGTGAGATTGCTTCCATCTTCCTAAAATAGAAGGCTTACTTTACTTGTAGAAGTGATTAGAAAATTTGAGCCCACTTTCCTCTTGATCTGGCAGTGAGTAATTAAGACATATGACTTGTAATAAAATATATGCAAATAAATATGGAAGTGAAGTGTAAATTGCCTGGGATAGAATGTGAGATTTGTTAAGAATTGTGCATAAATAGGACTACTGGACTCTTTTAGAATATTTTGCTGAGTTAACACACCTATAATATTCAAATGATGGAACTAAACAAAAAAGGGGATACAGATGAATGTCCATTTTGTATCTGTGTATTCAAAGTTTAGGATAGATATATAGTTACATTCTCTTAATGAATAGAGGAATTTGTTCTAATAGTGTTTGTAAATAGGATATCATGTCTGCATCTTGTACAGCAAATAACCACTAGGAAGAGAGTATGCAATGTGTTAATTATTGAAACTGTCATACCAATTTGATTTGAAACTATCTCATTACTGTTTGTTTCTCAATAAAATTATAGGGAAAAATAGAATTGTGCATAATAATTTATAAATAATAATGGTGGGCTGTCTAATAGAAGGATGCAGATAGAGTCAATGTCACATGAATTCCAGGTTTGTTTTCTTACTCTCTGAACAATCCTGGAGGTAGGCATTATTAGCCTCACTTTACAGCTGAAAATCCTGAGATTCATATTTCGGCACAGACTTGGGCAAAATCACACTAGCAAATACCACTGATTTAAACTCATTTGGGTTTATGGGTGATTCCTAACCTCATCTCACACTGTTTTAGGGTATTCTAATTTACACTGGTTAGCTTTTGTCTTCTGTGTTTCTAAAACCTTGTAATGCTCCATATATGAAGAAAAAATGATGGAGTGAGATTTCTAATGCCCTGGAAATCAATGATGGGAGAAGCAAAGCCTCATTTCCTGAGGGCCGTCACATCCCAGCAGATGCACTAGTTCAGTGGTTTCTCCTTCCCTCTCTCTCTCAACAAGTTCAATCAATGGAGCATCCCCAGATTTTGCATTTCTGTGATAAATTCTTTCTAGATTTGTGCCTCAACTTAAATGGCCAGGGTCCATTTTATCATGGCCTTTATGGAGTCTAAAAGTGATCCATCAAGATGGAAAAAGATAAGCACTGGATTTGAGTTCAGGTGTGACTCCATGAGTGACTCCTACGCTCAAGTTGGAGCAGTGAGCACCAACCACACACAAAGCCTAAGACTTCCTTTTCTATTTTCCTCAGGAGCTTGGCCTGTGGGCTGCCTTCACTGTGCTCTTCCCCATATGTAGTATATGAACAGACTGATGAAGCAGACCAAATGTCTCTTCCTTAGACTGTGAGCAACTAGCTTGGTGAAGGAGCAGCTGGAGAAGAGAAAGAAGAACGAATCTCTAGTCTCATTTATGAGCTAATCTGACCTACATGCCTTTTCCTGTAGCCATAATTATCCATCTATCTATATATCCTTTCTCTATTCTAGTCCACTGTATTTATTGAAAGCCCACTATGTGCTGCACACTATACTAAGAAGAATAAAGCATTCTAGTAAAAAAACAAAGTCCTTAGTCAAACAGTCAGACATTTAATTGGCCAGTTTCTACTCTGATAAGAGCTATGATGGAGAATACATGGTGCCATTAGAGCATTTGATCTAGTTAGGGAGCTCTGTTAAGGTGTCCCTAAAGAAATGGCATTTCAGCTGATATCATCAAGATGGATAGGAGTTAATTAGTAAGGGGCATTTCTAGGGATGGGGAGTGAAATGAATAAAGTGCTGCTGTTTAGAAACTTCTCTCCTCTGTGGTATTTCTCTGTGGCTAGTTTTATTCATAAGGCAAGCAATTCATTCTTCAAGATCTATTTTAGACATTGCCCCTTTAAAATACCTTCTGGAAGAGTCCAAAGATACTCTGTGTTTCTACAGCTTTTTATACATGCTTTAGTCAAGGTGTTGCTACATTAATTTATACTTCTTTCCTTAATTATCTGTCTTCTTTACTATACCTTAAATTCCTTAGACAGGGAATAGGTGTCATCCATTTTTATATCTTAGATTTTTCTGGGAAAGTATCTGGCAAGTTGGGCCAAGCTCTATCTATTGAGTAAATTTTTACTCAGTGAAACAATGGGTAGATGAATGAATGGGTGGATGAATGGCTAAAGACCAGAAAAGTGTCACAGATGACTCAATAACTCAAGAGGAACATAGTCACTGTTTTCACTTTAATAAGCCATTGTATTCTCAGAACCTAGACTAGTGACTGGTATATCATGGGAATTCAGAAAAGCTTTGATGAACAAGTGAGTGAATAGTCACCTTGGGCACAATTTATAACAGAAGTAAAGGGGATCTGGAACCCCTTGTATGCCCTGGCTACTTCTAGTTGCTTGAGGTACGATTGGGTCCTTGTTGGGTTCCAAATTCGTTCCTTTTCTAAGTACACTTTCAGCCCCAGGTAGGAGACAAATTCTCAGCTCTAAGCTAAAGAGGGAAGGAGATGAGGGACACCTCCAAGGGCACAGGTGGTAAGCATCGCTGTCAGGGCTTGGAGCCTGGCAGATGAGGGTCTTCTGGCCTCACTGCTGAGTCAAAGGAAAGATTGAATTCTGCTGTCACGCAGATTGCCCAGACTGCTGACTCAGCAGAATAAGCGCTCAGGTAACTGAAGCTGCCTGTTCCCAAAATGCTACCTTGATCAAAAGAGGTAAAAGAAAGCTATAGCTACATGGCCTTGGCTTTGTCTCTGTTGACTACAGCTTAGAATAATGGAAGTTCCCAGACTGCAATGTCCCAAGAAGATGCCACAAGGGGTCCCTAACCCCATGTACACAGAGAAATGTGTGGCTCAGGGACTATATAGTAACACTCACATGCCAGGGAACAGCTCCTAGGGGGTCACCTAGCACAGGAGCAAAAGTAGCAGCCTACAAGTCAGGGGACCCAAGCTTATGGCTTCATCCAGTAGCCAGAATGCTGCACAGATTTAGACCAGGCCCTCTCTGGCCTGCATCTTCCAACCTACACAGCAAGCAAGTAGAGCTAGAGCAAGCATACCAAGACCCTTCCCAGTTCTGGACTTCTGTCCAGTTTTAGAACTGACCACTATCTAGATGGCTGTTTCCCATCTTCAAAATGAAAGATTAGGATTAGATGCTCTAAAGGAGCTGTTGTGGTTCTAATATTCTATGAGTTTCATCAAGGATACATGATTTTGTACGATATGGTTTAGTCCCTTTTACTTGCATCTTCCTTGGGGGCTTTTGTTGGGGGTGGGAGAGAAACTACAGAGAGTTGACATCCTCTGGAAGGGATTTTTGAGCACCCTTTTCACTCTCACCTGAGAGCTGCTGAGCCAGCATGGTATACAGAAAGGTCCCTGGGTTCTCTGCATCACCCTCACTTGAGACCTCAGCTGAATCTCCAGGACCTGGAACACCCCTAGTATCTTGTCACTGATACACATCTCCAGGATTCTGAGTCCAGAGAAATGCTTCAACTATAAAGTCATAGAGATTTAGGGCCAGTCAGTGGATGAGTTTAAGTCAACCATATTACTTCCAGGGTTGAAGAATAAATGAATAACTAAGATGTGGGACAGAGACAACTGATGTGCAAGCCATGATCATGAGCAAAATAGAAATTTAAAAGATGTCTCATATGACTCTGTTGTTTAGGATAATGATGGTTAAATTCCTGCCATATCATAGATGCTAAATCAATGTGGCCTCTTTCCCTTCCTTTCTTACAGACCCAATGCTGTATAGGCCATGGGTTTTGGAAATAGAAAAGTCTAGCTTGCAGTTCCAGTTCTGTTACCTATTGAATATATTTTAAAATATATTTTTCATTTCTTCTGTGCTTCAATTCTATCACTGAAAAATGAGATTTCTGATTTCTATCTGAGAAGTCTGCCAAATGGATATATACAACACTTTGTAGGTGCGGTAAATGTTAACCATAAGATTATAACAACAGCAATAGCATCGCTTAGAGAGCTGAGGAGTGTTTCCTGTAACTCACCTCACAGCCTTTGACACAGTGGATCAGAGCAGGGTGAGGGTACCACTTCAGGCCAGCAGTACAGACAATGCTCTGCCAAGAGATGAAGACAATGGTCAGATGGGTTTGGGATGGGGAGGAAGCCACCTCTTTGCCGGCACCGCACACAACCAACCCACCTCTTCCTAGACACATCAAGTACTGAGCTCACCCTGGTACTTACATGGACAGCTTGCCCAAGTACATGTACTAACAGGAGCCATAAGAATAAAGTAATATTTGTATGCAACGTAGGTGTCACAGTTCCACATTTCCCTGGAAGGAGCAAGGGCTGAGGAGAAGCACAACTGGGAAGCAGAAACATGATCCAAAAGAATCTTCAGAAAAGTCTTGGCTGGTCTTTGACCCACTGGTGTAGTTGCGAATCAGTTGGGAGGAAGAAAGAGTGTGTTCATGTGTGTTTATGCATGTGTGCATATGTGTTTGGTATGTGTATGTCCATGTGTCCATAAGTATATTCATTTGTATGGCTGCAAAAGGAACATTCAGGGTATGGAGCAGGATTTTCCCAGGCATAAACTTAAGGCCATTTTCATCAGAATCCCTGATTGAGCATATTAAAGGTGCAGATTCATCAGATGTAATAAATTTGAATCTCTGAGCATTCTGCATTTCGAAAGCTAGAGGAAGGGCAAGGAAGGAAGGAAGGAAGGAGAGGGAAAGTGGAAATAAGTAGAAGGATATGCCACATGTAAGAACCTAATGACCTCAATGAATGGAACCAGCATATGCCAGAAACATGAGCTAAGATTAATGATGTCAATACAAATGAAAATAAGGCAAGGGGAATGACAGGAGAAAGGGATGGAGAGGGAAGGGGAAGGGATAGTAAAAAGAAAGAAACAAGATGTATTGTGTACCTAACCACTCACCAAGAGTAAACTGCATGCACTGTAAATGTGTACTAGGATAAAATAAAAAAATTATTGAAAAATAGGGGGCCGGCAATAGTTCAGTGCCATAAGATCTTGCCTTGCAAGCGCAAGGTTCTGAGTTCGATCCCTGGTCCCACCAAAAAATAACAATAATGAAAAATAAATTAAAAGGAAGCTAATTGTCATTGATTCTATAGCTCGAGAGCAGGTTGCTGAGAGGCCGATGAGCTGACCTTTGGTTTGAAGCACCAGAGAGGCACCAGAGAGGCAGAGAACACTTCCTGGTATCACCTTCTGTCCCTGCCACATGCACCTCCTCACAGTGCCCTGGGGTTGCCCACACTTTCCTAACAAATTTCAGAGAATATGTTCTTGCTGTTTCTTTTTACTGAAATACCATTACACATCTTGAACAATCCTTGTTCATCTCTTAAATTTCTACTCAAGACTTATCTCCTGTCTGATGCTGTTCTTAACCTGCACAAGCAGAGCTCACAGGTATGCTTACATGTACTTATTAATAGCTTTCTTTAATAATAATTATGATGAGGATGACAAGTGAAGTCTATTAAGTGCATTCGTGGTGCTAATTACCTTATGCATTTATCTTATTTATTTCTTGCCACATACTGTGAGGTGGGCATTAATCTTGCATCAGAAGAAAATAGATTCCTCAAGCTTCATGACTGTCAAGTGGAGAAGCCATGGTTTGGAACAAGCAATTGTTCTAGAAATGATTTAAGACAGCCCATGATGTAAAATCTACAGGATGGCAGGTTTTTAAAGTAGATGAAAGAAGAAAGATCAATAAAACTGGGAAGAGAAAACAGTATCAGGAATGAAGCTACTATAAAATTCCTGGGAGTTACCTTTCCTCTTCCCCATAGATGCTTTAGCTTTTATACTGAATTTCCATATTATATTTCTCTAAGAAAACAAAATAAAATAGCACAAACTTGAGTGTGCAGTGAAAGGTGACAGTGTGGGACAAGCCATGGAAGTCTAGGTGGTCAGGGATTGCTCTCCCGGATGAGTGCCTGCTGATTAATTTTAATTAAGAAATGAGCAGTCACATGGGCAAGAATGTGGGAAATCCCTGTGACCAGCTCCCTTTGTCCCTGAGGGCAGAGTTCTAATATGAAAGCCAAAGTGTAATTAAGTTTCTAGGGAAGACTTGTGAAAGGGAGTCACATGACACCAGGCCAGATCTGAGTTGGGTGCATTTCATTTCTGCTCCACATTAACTCTGGTTCGCATGTTAGATCTCCCGTGCCTAGAATGGTGCCTGCTGCACAGAGGTTGCCCAAGAAATATTATTTTGCAAAGGCATGGGTCCATGTCAGAGTAGAGATGACGCTACCAAAATAGAGATGATTCTTACCAACACCTGTCTGCCAGAGTGGCAGAAGAGCTTTCCCAATGCCAGGCATACTGTCTAATAAATCACTGTAGCATAGACTGAATTAAATTAAAAATCTTGACCAAGAGTTTAACTTGCGGTTCTGTCAGTCTGTCTCACAACGTGACACCTACTGTCTAGTTCCCCACGGAACATTGTCTACCCTCTCCCAATACACAAACAGGTGTATATGGAAAAGACGATGGGATTGGAAGTAGGACAGATGTTGTTACAATTCCAATTTGAAATTCCTTTCTAAATATCATCTATGATGCTTGTGAAATAGTACTGAAAATGCCACAGGCTTGTAAGATGATGCATCAAGATAAGTGGATAAGGAAACATTTTTGGATCAATTTCTTAAGTTTCTTGAGAACAGAGCCTTGATTTCAGATTTATTTGCTTTTCTCCAGGATCAGACATGAAACACAGTGAACAAATACATAGGAGGGAACGTGAGTTCCTCACCACTCCTCCCTCCACTCACATTCCAGTCATGGAGCCAGAGAGCAGATCACCTGCTTTAACTCTGAAGAAGTTTAACCCAATCTCTTCTCTGAGTCCCAGTGTCTGTTCTCAGCCCAAATCCAGAAATGCTGGACAGCATTTGGTAAACATGCAAGGAGTAGAAAACAGCAGGGTTAGGATCCACCAGGGATTCAGTGACCATCCCTCCCCCTGTTTATTTGTGAGCTAATTTAATCCATCTGCAGGAGTGCCTTGGTGTAGTTGTACAAGTTTCTGTCAGTTGAGGCTTACCTAACATGAGTTCAGAAAAAGGACTTTTATACTATCTGCATAAGCCTATTTATCTTTCCAAGGCTTTTGGATTTTCCACTATTACTCGGGTCTGCATTCCCCACCTGTCTTACTACAAGGTCCCTCTGTGTGCTAGGGAAACTCAGAAAGCGGACGGGCAGTGGGAACTGAAGGAAAGGCCAGGCTGCTCAGACCCCAAGTTGAGAGATCCCCCATGGGGTACCTCAAATGTCAGCCTTGTTCTTCCATATGCCAGTGACACAGGCAGTCCCAACAGAGCCCTTGAGGCCAGGATTTGCAAGAAGATTTCACTTCCTGTCTCAGTGTTTAGGAAGAATGGACTGCCTTTTCTTCCGGACTGTAACTGTCATTTTGGCAACACCACCAACACCACAACCGCTGGTGCCACCAGCATCATCAGCAAAACCATCAGCGATGCTGGCATCACTGCTATCAACCTCCCCTTCTCTTCATGTTAATCCTCGTACTACCACCACCATTACTGTCACCACCACAGTGGTGACATTGCTACCACGATCGTCCTTACCAAATCATCATCACTCTCATCGCTTCCACCAACACCAATACCAGCATCATCATCCTTGTCTTTAACCTCATCCCCAGGAAGCCTATAGTAGATGAATATTATGCTCAGAACATTCCCCGCATTGATGACTTACTGCAACTATGAGATCGATATTATTTTAGACTCTTGTTTGCCTGAGAGGAAACTGAGGACTGAGAAGATGGCCTCCACCTGGGTAGGCAGTGAAGTTGGCAATTAAGCCTACAGCTGTCTGGTTTCAAAGTCTGTGTTTTGACTACCATATTCTCCTTCAAAGTCTTATAGCCGCTGAAGCTATAATTATAAAGTAGCTTCCTCTTTTGATGGAGGAGAAGGCCAAGATTCAGAAAGGTGGAGAGACACTGAGACAATTGCAGGAGGATGTCTACAAGGTGAGATCCAGAGAAAACAGGCCCCACTCAGAGCCAAGTGTGTGTGGGAAGCCATCCGAGAGGCCCTTCTCATCCTGAGGCCCAGATTTGACCCCCCCTTGAATGTCTTCTCAGATAAGCTCTCCTTTTCATTGATCTATAGGGCCTCCCAAGAGTAAATTCTATTAATTAGCATTCTTATTGTTGCCTTGTGTTATCAGACAGTAAGTTTCTACATTTCTGCTGAGATGAAACTTCCTTCGAGGATGAAAGTCTAGACACTTCCATCCTGTCTTTTTAGTGTTTAAAGGATGCCCGACATTGGAAATCATAATCAATATTTATTGCAAATGTGAAGGAACAAACAAACACAGGACCAGATAGGTGAGTGAATGTAAGGGAGGATGAGTGATCAGTGGATTCTGGCTGCACCTTATTCTACGGCCACCCTCCCCAGGGCACTTGGCATCTCTATCTGGTTCACTTACTAGTTACTGTCTACTTCTCATTTCCAAAGTCTGGGCAGAATTTTCTAACGTTGCTTCTTTTTCCTCAAGGGATGACAATCTGCACCTTGTCTTTGCATATTACATAGTTTTATTTTCCAAAGTGTGTAGGATGCCTTCCTTGCAGGATGGAGTAAGCAGAATTAGAAAATTTAACAACATTTCTTGAGCTGGACAGTTACAATCTCTCTAAGCCTCAGCTGTCTGTAAAATGGTGGTAGTGTTCACCTCAGTCGGTATGACAGAGGCAAAATAAGGTGACATATGGGGAAGCATCCCAGCAAATGTGGCCATTATCACAATGGTCAGTGAGTGCCAGTTTCTCTTTCCTTTTTGAATCCCATCCTGTTCCCTTCTTTCTGTCTCCCGCTCTGCTCTCCTCCCATTCTGTCTCCAGAGCCATTATAAAATCTAAGGATTTAGCTACCAACAGAAACTATAAGCCAATGAGCACGACAGGTGTATCTTGTGTTGCCCAACTCTCCTGCCATCCCTGTGCAGAGAGCCATGTAGGAGCACACTGGAATTACTCCTTAGGACTGGTGGGGGAGTACTCCTCAGAGCCCTAGAAAATTCTAAATATCCAATTTGATGGAGCCCATCTCATCCAAAGGTCGCAGTCCAGAAGTTCTAGGATCTACAACCCACAGAAGTATTTCCCTTGGCATACAAGTACTTGAAAAAGGTCGAAACTTATTGCCCAATAAAAAGAGATTCCAATTTTTAAAGCTCCCATTCATTGTACTCAAGAATTTAAAAACAAAAAAAAGAAAGAAAAAGGAAAACATGGTTCTAGTAGGCCCATATTTCCACTGCTACCCTTGGCTAGATCTGCCCACTTGGCTAGATCTGCCCACTCTCGATACAGCCAATTAAAGACGTTTTTCATGGTTCACCACAGTCTCCACTATTCTCCCTAGTCTCTCCAACACTGAGCTAGAAGGGCATTTGTATGTATAACCAAATGTATAGCTTTTCATTTATTCAGTTGGAGGAAGAATATCTCATTCAAAAGTACATTGTGAAAAACAAAACAAAACAAAAAAATCTAAAAATAAAGGGGCCAGGGAGATGGCTCAGTAG